CTCTTGATAAGTTTCCCTCTTTAATGTTCCTTTGAATGGTTAGAATTTTTTAGGAATTCTTGGGAAAACTTAGCGGTGTAATTCCCCCTTAAAACCCCCTTAAAATAGGTGGCCCATTTGATTTTCAGCTTAGGGGGCCCTTAAAAATAATTAAAGGGCTATCTGAGCGCTTTCATATTAAAAAATTTCTGTAGTGGCGGTCATGGTCTTTGGAGGCCCCGAAAATTTTCATTGTTTTTCCAATATATTTTTGGGGCAGTATCCAAAAGGGGAAGGTGCAGAGCCGCTGTGTGTTATAGGTGGGGGACGTTTATATAAAATCTTTTTACAGAGGTTTTGTTTCGTGATCTGGATTGATGCGTTAATGATTGGTATGGGTAAAAATTCTTTGTTTTGGGAAAAGTGAATAGTAGGATGAGTAAAAAAATGAATTTGGCGGTGGGGGTGAGAAGTACCCATTTTTTATTTATTAATTTGAAATGTACATAGAAATACAAAGAATTCAGTGGTTAAGTGAAATGCCAAAGCCCTTTGTATGCAGGTATTTTTGGGGGGCTTAAATTAAAAATTTAAAATTTAAATAAAAATGATATGTCAAGGTAAAAAAATTATTGTAAAAAATTAAAAATAAAGCAAAATGGTATTTCAAAGAAGGTCATTGACATTTACTGTGGTTTTTTGTAATCAGTAGAATGGAGTATTCTGTTAGGTAATGTAATTAAAAATAACAAAGTTTGATTGGGTCACAGGTTTCAAATTCAAATTCAAATTCAAAGTTTATTCTCTATAAAGATTACAATGTTGAATTTACATAATTTGGTTGTTGTGTGGTTTACATGTAGTTAAATAATGATTACAGAGTGTACCACTAGAACGCCTAGCATGGCTAGGCATTTCGGGCAGACTTAGTTTAATTCTTTATTTTAAAATATTACAAATTATGAGGTAAGTTGGTATTATGGCTAAGTGACTAAATACTAGTTTGTGAGTTTAGCAATGTGAATGCTTTTGTTTTGGCACAGTACATAGTTTCAGTATTGGAGTATCATAGGATTCATTATTTTAAGATTGAGATTAATATTTCTGTTTATGGTCAAATGGGGTGAGTGAGTGTAAGTGTGAACCACAGGTGGTATTCGTTGTAGTTAGTTGATGGGGTGTATCAGGGAGATAAGATGTTTTCTAATGGTAGTTTTGAAGGTGATGAATGTGTCTGCAGTTCTAGAGTTCTCGGGTAGGGTGTTCCAGATTTTAGGGCCTTTGACATACATTGAATTTTTGTAAAGGTTTAGTCGGACACGGGGAATGTCGTAGAGATGTTTGTGTCTGGTGTTATGCCTGTGGGTTCTGTCACAACTATCAAGAAAGCGTTTTAGGTCAAGGTTGATATTAGAGTTTAAGGTCCTGTAGATGTAGATTGCACAGTAGTAAGTGTGGATGTACTGAACAGGGAGTAAGTTTACATCTATGAAGAGTGGGGGGGTGTGATGCCAGGGATGGGATTTAGTGATTATTCTTACTGCAGCTTTTTGTTGGGTTATTATTGGCTTTAGGTGTGTTGCTGCAGTTGATCCCCAAGCACAAATAGCATAGGTGAGGTATGGATAAATAAGTGAGTGGTATAGTGTGAGAAGGGCATTTTGCGGCACGTAGTATCGTATCTTGGAGAGGATCCCAACTGTTTTGGATACTTTTTTGGTTATGTGTTGGATATGGGTGCTGAAATTCAGGTTATTGTCCAGGTATAGGCCTAGGAATTTGCCCTCATTATGTCTGGTAATTAGAGTGTTGTCGATCTTAATGTTAATTTGTGCATCTCCTGCTCTGCTACCAAACATAATATAGTAGGTTTTGTCAGTGTTAAGCGTAAGTTTATTGGCTGTCATCCAAGTCGATATTTTGATCAGCTCCTCGTTAACAATGGTGTTGAGGGTGGCAAGATTAGGGTGAGAGATGACATAAGTCGTGTCGTCAGCAAAGAGAATGGGTTTCAGGTGTTGGGATACGTTTGGAAGATCATTGATACATGTGATACAATTATTCAGTATTTATTTAGTTGTGGGTGAGTAAGTGATTTTTGAGAAGAGAATTGAATTTATAAACAGACAGTGTTTCTTTTTCATTCACAGGTAATGAATTCCAGATTTTTGGGCCTTTTATGTGCATTGAGTTTTTGCATAGTGTGAGATGGACACGAGGAACATCAAAGAGTGATCTGTGCCTTGTGTTATGGTCATGTGTTCTGTTGAGGTTGGTAAGGAGATGTTTGAGGAGAGGGTTTATATCCGAGTTAAGTGTTCTATGTATGTAGTAGGTACAATAATAAGTATGGATGTTTTGTATGGTGAGTAGGTTTAGAGTTTTGAATATTGGTGGAGTGTGCTGCCTGTAGTGGGAATTTGTTTTCATTCTGACTGCAGCCTTTTGTTGGGTAATTTATGGTCTGAGATGGTTTATTGTTGTTGAGCCCCATGCACAAATTCCATAGGTGAGATTGGAGTAAATAAGTGAGTGATATAGGGCCAGGAGGGCTGACTGTGGAACATAGTACCGTATCTTCGATAGTATGCCTACGGTCTTGAAAATTTTCTTGGAAATTTGTTGTATGTGTGTTTGAAATTTAAGTATATTATCAAGGTGGATTCCTAAGAATTTTCCCTCTGTGAGCTTTGTGATAGGTGATCCGTTTATCATTTTGTTAAGAGGGACATCTGTAGTTCTGTTACCAAACTGAATAAAGTAGGTTTTGTCAATGTTGAGAGTAAGTTTGTTAGTCCTCATCCAGGTAGATATTTTCTGCAATTCGGTATTTACAGTATTGGCTAGTATGACTGGGCTCGGGTGAGGGAAGACGTATGTAGTGTCATCTGCAAATAGTGTGGGTTTGAGTAGTTGCGATGCATTTGGTAGGTCATTTATGTAAACGAGAAAGAGAAGAGGGCCTAGGACACTTCCCTGTGGGGCACCAGCTGTAATTGGCTGTGAGGAAGAGTTTGCTCCATTTGTGTACACATATTGGCTTCTGTTGTTGAGGTATAACATAAGGTAGTTGAGGGAGTGCCCTCTTATACCATAGTGCGACAATTTTATGTGGAGCAAGTAGTGGTCAACTGTATCAAAAGCTTTACGTAAATCAATGAAGATCCCCAGTGGGACTTCTTTTTTCTCTAGTGCAGTGTATATTTGTTCTAGCATGTGTATAATAGCATCGTATTTTTATTAGGCCTGAACCCAAACTGACAGGGGTTGAGTATGTTGTGGGAGATGAGGTAGGAATAGATTCACTTATGAATTAATTTTTCGAAGATTTTAGAGAGAGGGTGTAAGTTGGATATTGGCCTATAGTTATTCAAGTCTGTTTGGTCTCCTCCTTTATGGATCGGTGTGACCCTCACTATTTTGAGAACTGTAGGGAAGGTAGAGGATTCCATGGATTTGTTAATTGTGTTGCAATGATTGGTGACAGCACTTGTGACACTTTTTTGCATATAAAGGGTGGTAAGGTATTTAAATCTCCTGTCTTGTTTTTTAGTGTGTTGATAATAAGGGAGACTTCTGTTGGGTTAGTCGGAGCTAGGAACAGTGTGCTCGGGTAGTTGCCAGTGAGGTAGTCATTGGGTGGGATATTTGAGCTTGGGATTTTATTGGCAAGGTTTTTTCCTATGGTGGAGAAGAAATCATTGAGTCTGTTTGCTGTTTCAGTTGGTGGGAGTTGGGGTTCATCTGGTTTTGTTAGTTCAATTGCGCTGTTTCGTGATATCTTTTTTGTTCCTAGAATTTCTGATAGGGTTTTCCAGGTCTTTTTTATATCACCTTTTAAGTTGGATAATATGTTCTCATAATACAATTTTTTAGTCCTTCTTATCAGGCTGGTTAGGATTGATGAGTAATGTTTTGTTTGGTCTCTTGTTATGTGACCCATTCTGTACTGTTTTTCATATAGGTGCTTTGTATTTATGGATTTGAGGATGCTGGGTGTTAGCCAGGGACTGTTCAGTCTCTTAGCTGTCATCTGTTTAGTTTTTTTGTTTTTTAGGACAGTGCTTGTTATAGATGTATTGGGTCTTTTTTAGAAAATTATTAATACATTCGTCAATATCTGCATAGATTTCTAGCTCAGTGTGCCAGTCAATGTTTGTCATTGCTGTTGTGAAGTTATTAATGGCTGCTTCATTGTGAAGTCTGAAAGTGACTTTAGTAGTGTCTTGGGGTAATTTGCCTAGATTAGTTATGAGGAAGGTAGGGTAATGGTCTGTGGCATTATCTGTGATTATGCCTGATTTTAAAGGGGATATGGTGTTGGTCCAGATGTGGTCTAGTAAGGAAACGCTAGTCTATGTAATTCTTGTAGGTTTTGTTACTGTTGGTAGCAACAAGCAGTTACTCATAGCGTTTGTGAATTCAGTAATGTGTGGGTCCTGGTCTTGCAGGAGATTTATATTGAAGTCACCTGAGAGTAGTAAGTGATCTTTATTCATGCGTGCATCAGTTATCATACTTCCTAGGTTTTCACTAAAACGGCTGTTTGACTGTGGTACTCTGTAGAGTACCACATGTGATGGGGTGATGGATATGGGTTGGGGTTGTGGTGACTGGAAAAAATTTACCAATTAGAGATAAGGAGACAAGTAAAAACTGACCTGGTGGTGATAGAAATGATGGATAAGGACTGACCAGGTAATGATGAGGTGATGGGTGAGGACTGGCCTTGTAGTGATGGAGTGATAGGTAAACCATACCACGGGAGGGAATAGAACCCGCCGTCAGAGACTCCATGACTTTCTGACCGCGGGTTCTATCCCGGCCCGTGGTATGGTTTATTTGCAATTGTGTCATTACGATTTCGGGAGTCGTGATGGGTTAAGACTGGCCTTGTAGTGATGGGTGATGGGTAAAGACTTACCTTGTAGTGATAGGGTGATGGGTAAAGACTGACCTTGTAGTGATGGGTGATGGGTAAAGACTGACCTTGTAATGATGGGTGATGGGTAAAGACTGACCTTGTAGTGATGGGGGTGAGGATAAGGTTGATGTCTTCCTTGGGCCTCATTGCTACTATGGAGAATTGCAGCTCAGGGCTGGCTGGGTCAGGACGGAGGTCAAAGTTCTCCACCAGCTTGGCCAGCACTAACTTAGACTCCATCAGTGCAAACCTCATTCCTGAGAGAGAGAGAGAGAGAGAGAGAGAGAGAGAGAGAGAGAGAGAGAGAGAGAGAGAGAGAGAGAGAGAGAGAGAGAGAGAGAGAGAGAGAGAGAGAGAGAGAGAGAGAGATGGGAATACAAAGATGTTCATAATTAAGTTAATGTAATTTTGATCAGTAAACTTAATCAAACATAATACTTTGAGAAAGTAATGCTGTTTATAACATAAATTTTTCTGTGTATAAATAAATAAAAATATACAGTAAATATTTGCATATGTATATAAACATTCTCTCTACGTGAACAGCAGGACTCGAACTTGCAAACTCTGATTCAGAGTACACAGTACTTTAACACAGAGCCAGACCAAAGATAAGTATGGGCGCCTAACCAGAGCTAGATGATGTTTCCCCATACTCCAGCAAGGAGTCATGGGTCTGGCTCCGTGGTAATGTACTGTGGACTCTGACATAGAGTTTGCAGGTTCGAGTCCTGCTGCGGACGTTGAGACAATGTTTGTAAATAATTTTACCTGTTTGCGAATTGTTAAGCATTGCATATATATGTATAGTCATTCTTTGAATATATTATGCACATGTACAAGTATATAATAAATGTCTATATTTACACATATGGATATATTCTGAATATGTGTAAGTATACATGTAAATTTACGCTCAATGAATGAAAATACATACACAACCATTTTATGAATATATGTATTGTTATTATTATTATAATCAAAACTAAGCGCTAAACCACGAGGGTCATACAGCGCTGCACGGTAGAGGTTGTAAGGCCTTTGATTATGCTTCTGTTATGGAAACATAATCAAAGGCTGTGTAATAAATCTGTTGTTGTCAAAAAGTCAAAGAGGAAGTCTGTGTCAGTGGTGGAGCCGTCAGCTAGGAGTTAATATAAAATAAGAGCGTTAGACCAGTGACGACGTCGAAGGTAAATTCTGGTTGCTTGCTGATGGATTGGACAGTCCAACAGAATATAGAATACTGAAACTGGAACCTGACAGTTAGCAGAGAGTGTGACTGGGCGCCTCTCCATGAGGTACCTATGAGTGAGACATGTATGCCCGATGTGAAGAAGGAAAAGCATAGTCTTCTAAACTCGGCTTGATAAGATTGTAATTTGTTACGAATCAGTTCACCCCAATGTTGCTGCCAACGGTTGCGAAGGTAGCTAGAAATTATAGTAAAATTATCTGAAAATGGAATACCTCTAAATGAAACTGGAAGGTCGTGTACTGCTGACCGTGCAGCAGAGTCTGCCTGCTCATTGTCCTGAGCATCAACATGCCCAGGAACCCAGCAAAAAACGATTTCTTTGTTTTTGCTAGAAATGTGGCAAAACCAAAGTTGTATACCAAGAACTAGGGGATGAGGTGAATTAAATTTTTTGATAGCTTGTACAGCACTAAAGTAGTCCGAGACTACCACAAACGGTGAGGTAGGTCTGGAGCAATTCGGATAATCTCTAAGAATATTGCGTACAGTTCAGTTGTGAAGGTGCTAGTCGAGTCTAATAAATGTCCTGGTACAGCACTGTCTGGGAACACTGCTACAAACCCCACACCGTCGGCGGATTTGGAACCTTCATTGTAAACTGGAACGGCCCGAGTAAAGACCGGAAGTAATTAAGAAAAAGGAAGCCAGAAGCCACTGTAGGTATTCGAACTTTCCCGCACGGTAGTGGGGAGGAACAGACGCGAACTGTCTGAACCTCTCAAGTGGGAAGAGAAAAGTTAAATGCTAGATGGACATATAAAGGGGGCAACTGAAGAGAAGTCAAGAGCGACTGAAGACGAAGGGAAAATGGATGGAGTAAACAGGCGCGGCAAACAAATAATGAACCTCTACTGCTATCCTGTATGTATTAGGATCGTGAAAGTCATGAGAGTGAACAAAATAACTGAGGCAACGGGCATCACGGCGATCGTTCAAAGATGGAACATTTGCCTCTGCATATAGGCTCTCGTGAGGGGAGGAGCGAAAAGCACCTAGACGTAAATGTAATCCAGAATGATGGATGGGATCAAGTTTAGAGAGTTGCGGAAGAAGCTGCAGAATATATCTGGTCGCCACTGTCTAGTTCCGATAAAATTACGACTGAATACAGTCGAAGCAGAGTTCAACGATCCGCCCCCCATGAGAGATGAGGGAGGGTTTTAAAGAGGTTCAGCTAGTTATGGCAAGTTGCTTCCAGGGAGGCAATGTGAGGTTTCCAGGACAGCCAGCGATTAAACAGAAGCCCAGAAATCTGACCGTATCACGTTCAAGGATACGGGAGCCATACAGGTACAGTGGAGAATAAGAGACAACAGAAAGTCTGGTGAAAGTAATTTGGAGCATTTTAGCACAAGAAAATTTAAACTCAAGAGTAGTCGCCTAATGGGAAACACGGTTGACAGCATTCTGGAGTGAGGCTGCTACTAGGCGATAATCAGCACCTGCACAAGCTACAGCAGTCGAGAGAGGCCTAGCTTCTCCCTACGAGAAGCTAGGCCTGGGGACAGTTGGTCGCAAAGATGAGGGAGTACTTGTGCCTCCTCCCATGGCAGACTTACTTCTCAGACACTCCCAAGACAGAGAGCCAAGGCCGGGCCACCACTTGGAAAAGGCCCGGGCCGGGAAAATACTGGCGAATCTTTAATAATAATAATAATAACAATAATACAGCAGTCATTGACATAAAATGATGATCAAATATTTGACTGAAAAACAGAGGCTAGATCATTTATAGCAAGTAGAAAACGAGTGGTGCTGAGGACACATCGCTGAGGAACACCCTCAGCTTGGACAAAGTCCAGGGAAAGCAAATTATTAAACCGAACAAAGAAATATCTCTTAGATAAGAAGATTTTAAGGAAAAATGGCACACTGCCTCGGAGGCCTAAGGATTGATCTTGGGTATATCTCCATGTAGTGTCATGTGCCTTTACAAGATAAAAAAAAAAGACTACATGTAATAACTGAGCAAAGACATTACGAACATAGGTATCTAAGCGGAGTAAGGAGTCAATAGTGCAGAGGCCTTTACGAAAGCCAAATTAAGTAATGGAGAGGCTATTGTGTGTCTAAATACCACACCAAACGTTTATTTATTAGATGTTCCATCAACTTGCAAACCGCATTAGTACGACCAATGAGACGACAGTCTAAGGCACCATGGCCCAAGGTACCTGGATTACGAAAAGGCAGAACAATGCCAGTTTTCCACAGCTGGGAAGGAACCCCTTGCGACCAAATAAGATTAAAAAGACGTAAGAGGACTGCGAGGGCTGACGTATGTAAATGCTGCAGCATACGAACATGAGTGTCAACATGCCCAGCTGCCGACGATCGGTATTATATACAATTCTTGTACTACTACCACCACTACTACTACCACTACTACTACCTCCACCTCTTCCTGCCTATATATAGCCGTCCTGCTCCTCCTCTGTTAGTGTGACTTTGTTAATGGTCCAAGTCGGACCGAAACGTCGTCGTAAGCTTCTGTCTTTTATGTGCGGGTTATTTGTGTATCGTTCCAGTCACGGTATTGTGCCTTTTTGTTATTTATTTAGTTCTAGAAGCATAAACGGCACATTATGACTCTTCTCTGCTAGAAGGAAAGTCTAAAGGCAGTAACTCTCTGGCAGATTTTGAGGAAAGAAATGAGGGGCCTGGGTCTGGAGAGCATTTGCCACTCAATCTTCGTACGTTTTCCAGACTGCACTCATAGAGGAAATCGAACTTACGGTAGAAATATAATCCTGTCAACAAATGCGTTTAACCTCTCGGATGCCACGTCGGACATAAGCCCTCACCCTTTTAAAATCAAGGAATCTCTCTGTGGTCCTATTATAATGATATTGGCCCCATGCAGCACGTTTCAAACGAGCACAAGTAGGAGACCACCAAGGCGCATATTTCTGAGAATGCCTACCTGAGGTTTGAGGAATTGTAATCGAGGCTCAGGTTAAAACTGATTACAAAAATAGTTGTAATAACTCAGCAGTTGGGGGATAAAGGAAAAGACTCTTCACTAAAAACAGTTTGACGTGAATAAATGGCCCAGTTCGCCGATGCAAACTAGTACAGAGTGAAGTATTGGGATGGCGTGAAGAAAGACGCAGAATGTGAGGTTGTGACGTGTCAGAGGGCGGACTGGTGTCCATCATAGGTGTTGTCTCCTCGATAATCGTGGAGATGGCTTCAGTAGTTTCAGATGAGAGAGTAGTAGAAGAGAGCTTGGCAGCAGAGGGAGAAGATGTAGTCTGGATAAAATGTGGTAAGACAACGGAAGATACCAAAAAAGGGGTAGAGGTGTCTTGAGAAGCAGAAACATCCAGTGGGGGTGGATGAACATCCACAACAGTATTAGATGCATTTCAAGGTAAAGGTCTAAACCAAGAGATAGGGAGGGAAGCACATTTGAGAATGTCATGTGGTTTGGGGGTTTAAAAAAGATTTGGAACTAAATGAAAATGTAGACTTTGGAAAAGAAGGCATAAGTGGCGACAGTTCAGATTGGAGGGGGTGCATAATCGTTGAAACATGTGAGTGGGAAGGTGAAATAGGGACAGTAAGAGATGATGAGGTTGGAACCTCAGAGCCCAAAACTGTAAAAGGGTTGGACACAGAGTTGACCGTAGGACTGTAAGGTACACAGAGGCAATCGCGAGAGCAGGCACCACCGAGGTCTGGGGCCATCTAGCCACCCTGGAATAAGAGAGACATGGTAGGCTCCCTAGGAGGCTGAGATTGGAAACTGCCATGGCATATGAGAAGCCCTTTTTCTTTTTAAGACAACGAATCTCTCTTTCTCTTAAGAAAATCGGGCAACGGCGAGAATAGGCAGTGTGTGCCTATTTGCAGATACGGCAAGAGAGAGAGAGAGGGTGACTGTAGGATAGACTGCAATGGTCAGCTACACCACAAACAGGGCATTCTGCCACTTACCTACAATATTTTGCTGGGCGGCTGAAGCGCCAGCATTTTCTACATTGCTGCAGGGTAGGGATCACCTCCCGCATTTGTTAGCGTTATCCCGCTACATTTAACAGATGGTAGTTCACTACTGTCAGAAGTTAGCCTCTCTATATTGCAACGATAGTGTCTCTGCCCACTGGCAGGGAGTTTGTAAATGTTAAGTTTAAAGACCGGGACATTCTAGTGCTTGAGTTGCTCTGAAATGTCTTCATTACTCACGAGGACGGGGAAGGGAAAGGAGGGATGGGAAGGATGTGGTAGAGAAGGGAGGAGATTGGGGGGTAATTAGGTTCGGTTGGAGGAGGAAGACCGAAAGGTTCATTTCCTCAGACCAAAAACCTCCTTACCGCGCCAAGGAGTCCTCTCTTGAAGAGGTGAATATATGTACACCTGTATTTTTGCACTACATGACTGGCTGCAAATATGTAAACACTCTCTGTCAATTGTCTGTCCTTGTGCCCTTTTTAATCTCCAGATTAAAAATTTAATATTCTAGCAGTGTGCTACATAGGTACTGCATCTAGGACTGCCAGATGATGGGTTTGACGTCTGGAACTCCAGTGTTTATTATGCATTTGTTTTCAAGATATTGATTAGTGTTTTAGAGGAAAAGAAGAGCTAGATTTATCAATGCTAGTTGGCGAGAGTGGTGAGGTACTCAGTGAAATTGGTGATTTCCGATCACAGTTGTAGATCATAGAAAACTGCTGTGGTAAAGGAATTTCCTGGATAGAGCGCTACTTATCACCAGTTGTGGAACAGTTGTGAAGAGAAGCGTTAAGAATCTGATGACTTCTAAATCACAGATTTAACGCATGGCATTCCATTGAAATGTTATAATAGTTTATTACAAATTTTCAGAATATTCAGGGAGGTACCAGCAGAATATATTTATTGATATTCATTTTTAGGCAAATTATACTATTAAATTTATATTCACTAAACATACACAGGAATTCTCACAATTTAGTATTTGTGTCAGAGGAACTGAAGGGACTGGCTACCGACTTACTTATATTGAAAACAAAATGTAGATTCTTGAGTCATGATATAGATTAATTTAAAGTAGAACAAAAGCATTAAAATCTCAGACCGAAACATTAAACTTACCAACACAGTTTCTGGGTCCAAGACCAAACGGTAAGTAGGTACCACTGATGAGATTAGGCTTGTTGTCAGGCAGAAAGCGGTCTGGATTAAACTCTGTGGGGTTGGTCCAGTACTGGGGATCGTTTTGAAGGCTCCAGATGGGTATAGTGACCATAATTCCCTTACTGATTATCACGTCTGTGCCAGGCAGGCTGTAAGATAGGTACAGTGTAAAGCAAACAACGAGAAGCAAGAACTGTGGTGCAGGCAGACCGAAGCTGGCTGAGTGTGTAGCAGGTAGAGTGTGAAGTTAGCACTTAATGAAGGAAATACAGTGTATGGCAGGTAGTGTGTGACAGGTAGAGGATGTGGCAGGTTGTGTGTGTGGCAGGAAGAGTATGTGGCAGGTAGAGTCTATAGTAGGTAGAGCGTGAGTGGCAGGTAGAATGTATGGCAGTTAGAGTGTGTGGCACGTAGAAAGTGTGGGAGGCAGAGTATGTGGAAGGTAGACTGTGTAGGAGATAGAGTATCTCAAGGAAGAGCGGGTAGCAGGTAGAGTGTGTAGCAGGAAAAATGTGTGGCAGAGTGTGTAGCAGGAAGAGTGTGTGGCATGTAGAGTGTGTGGCGGGTAGTGCGAGTGTCACAGGTAGTGTGGCAGGCAGAGTGTGTATCAGGTAGAGTGTGTGTCAAGTAATATGTGTGTGTGTGTCAGGTAAAGTGTGTGTTAGTTAGTGTGCCTGTGTGTGTCAGGAAGTGTGTGTCAGGCAGAGTGTGTGTCAAGTAGTATGTGTGTGTGTGTCAGGTAAAGTGTGTGTTAGCTAGTGTGCCTGTGTGTGTCAGGAAGTGTGTGTCAGGTAGAGTGTGTGTCAGGTAGAGTGTGTGTCAAGTAGTATGTGTGTGTGTGTGCAGGTAAAGTGTGTGTTAGTTAGTGTGTCTGTGTGTGTCAGGTAGATTGTGTGTCAGGTAGTACGTGTGTGTGTGTCAGGTAGAGTGTGTGTCAGGAAGTGTCTGACTGTGTGTCAGGAAGATTGCGTGGCAGGTAGAGTGTGTGTGTGGCAGGTAGAGTGTGTCAGGTAGTGTGTGAGTGTGTGTCAGGGAGATTGTGTGGCAGGTAGAGTGTGTGTCAAGTAGTTTGTGTGTGTGTGGCGAAGGTAGTGTGTGTGTGTCAGGAAGTGCGTGAGTGTGTCAGGGAGATTTTGTGGCAGGTAGAGTGTGTGTCAAGAAGTGTGTGGCAGGTAGAGTGTGTGTCAGGTAGTGTGTGTGTGTGTGTCAGGTAGAGTGTGTTGCAGGTAGAGTGGGTTGTAGGTAGAGTGTGTTTTCAGTAGTGTTGCAGGTAGAGTGTGTTGCAGGTAGTGTTGCAAGTAGAGTGTATTGCAGGTAGAGTGGGTTGCAAATAGAGTGTGTAGCAGGTAGAGTGGGTTGCAAGTAGAGTGTGTTGCAGGTAGAGTGTGTTGCAAGTAGAGTGTGTTGCAGGTAGAGTGTGTTGCAAGTAGAGTGTGTTGCAGGTAGAGTGTGTTGCAGGTAGAGTGTGTTGCAGGTAGAGTGAGTTGCAGGTAGAGTGTGTTGCAGGTAGAGTGAGTTGCAGGTAGAGTGTGTTGCAAGTAGAGTGTGTTGCAGGTAGAGTGAATTGCAGGTAGAGTGTGTTGCAAGTAGTGTTGCAAGTAGAGTGAGTTGCAAGTAGAGTGGGTTGCAATTAGAATATGTTGCAAGTAGAGTGTGTTGCAAGTAGAGTGTGTTGCAAGTAGTGTGTTGCAAATAGAATGTGTTGCAGATAGAGTGTGTTGCAAGTAGAATATATTGCAAGTAGAGTGTGTTGTAAATAGAGTGTGTTGCAGGTAGAGTGTGTTGCAAGTAGAGTGTGTTGCAAGTAGAGTGTGTTGCAGGTAGAGTGTGTTGCAAGTAGAGTGTGCTGCAGGTAGAGTGTGTTGCAGGTAGAGTGTGTTGCAAGTAGAGTGTGTTCTGGGTAGAGTGTGTTCTGGGTAGAGTGTGTTGCAGGTAGAGTGTGTTCTGGGTAGAGTGTGTTCTGGGTAGAGTGTGTTGCAGGTAGAGTGTGTTGCAGGTAGAGTGTATTGCAGGTAGAGTGTGTTGCAAGTAGAGTGATGCAGGTAGAGTGTGTTGCAGGTAGAGTGTGTTGCAGGTAGAGTGTGTTGCAGGTAGAGTGTGTTGCAGGTAGAGTGTGTTCTGGGTAGAGTGTGTTGCAGGTAGAGTGTGTTCTGGGTAGAGTGTGTTCTGGGTAGAGTGTGTTGCAGGTAGAGTGTGTTGCAGGTAGAGTGTATTGCAGGTAGAGTGTGTTGCAAGTAGAGTGATGCAGGTAGAGTGTGTTACAGGTAGAGTGTGTTGCAGGTAGAGTGTGTTGCAGGTAGAGTGTGTTGCAGGTAGAGTGTGTTACAGGTAGAGTGTGTTGCAGGTAGAGTGTGTTACAGGTAGAGTGTGTTGCAGGTAGGGTGAGTGATAATGTGATCATAATAAACAGATAATATTAAAATGTGTTAAACAACCAATGTGAAAATAATAGTGAACATCAAAGCACTTTCGTGATTTCTCACATTCTCAGAAATCAAGAAAGCAAATCATTATCTGTCAGTCAGCAGCAGAATTCAAACCTACACACTCTGCATCAAAATATTATTGAGTGAGAGATAAAGTTTGTAAATAACTTCGTCCCTTGACGAATTCTTCAGCACATACATGTGTGAATATGTATAATATATATATATTATATATATATATATATATATATATTATATATATATATATATATATATATATATATATATATATATATTTATTATCACACTGGCCGATTCCCACCAAGGCAGAGTGGCCCGAAAAAGAAAAACTTTCACCATCATTCACTCCATCACTGTCTTGCCAGAAGGGTGCTTTACACTACAGTTTTTAAACTGCAACATTAACACCCCTCCTTCAGAGTGCAGGCACTGTACTTCCATCTCCAGGACTCAAGTCCGGCCTGCCGGTTTCCCTGAACCCCTTCATAAATGTTACTTTGCTCACACTCCAACAGCACGTCAAGTATTAAAAACCATTTGTCTCCATTCACTCCTATCAAACACGCTCACGCATGCCTGCTGGAAGTCCAAGCCCCTCGCACACAAAACCTCCTTTACCCCCTCCCTCCAACCTTTCCTAGGCCGACCCCTACCCCGCCTTCCTTCCACTACAGACTGATACACTCTTGAAGTCATTCTGTTTCGCTCCATTCTCTCTACATGTCCGAACCACCTCAACAACCCTTCCTCAGCCCTCTGGACAACAGTTTTGGTAATCCCGCACCTCCTCCTAACTTCCAAACTATATATATATATATATATAATATATATATATATATATATATATATATATATATATATATATATATATATATATATATATATATATATATATACCTGGAGGTTACCTGGAGGTTATTCCGGGGATCAACGCCCCCGCGGCCCGGTCCATGACCAGGCCTCTCGATGGATCAGGGCCTGATCAACTAGGCTGTTACTGCTGGCCGCACGCAGTCCAACGTACGAGCCACAGCCCGGCTGATCCAGCACTGACTTTAGGTATCTGTCCAGCTCTCTCTTGAAGGCAGCCAGGGGTTTATTGGCAATTCCCCTAATGCTTGATGGGAGGCTGTTGAACAGTCTTGGGCCCCGGACACTTATGGTGTTTTCCCTTAGTGTACCAATGGCTCCCCTACTTTTTATTGGGGGCATTTTGCATCGCCTTCCCAGTCTTTTACTTTCGTAGGGAGTGATTTCTGTGTGCAGATTTGGGACCATTCCTTCCAAGATTTTCCAAGTGTAGATTATTATATATCTCTCCCTCCTGCGTTCCAACGAGTCCAAGCGTTCCCAGTAGTTAAGGTGTATTACAACCCAGGATCCAAATGGCCTGTTACCCCGGGTGTAATGGGAGCAAAATAAACACAGTAGAAAAAGTTTAGACTTATATTATCCTTCACCAATTTATAACAGCAATATGTACATTATGTACAGAGATAAGTATAGTGCACTCCACGGTAAGCAAAGCAGAAATAGAAGCCACAAGATAGCAGACCGTGCTTCAACCAGCTCTAGAATGGGAATGACAAGGGCAGACAGGAGAGCGGTACCCACATAACCTCTGCGATTGCCAAAACCATCTTCTTATTGGCTAGAACCTGGTCACTAGTTGAACGACGGGGCCCCATCATCAACTCTTAGCAACCTGGTTCGCTGGTTGGGGGAGATAGCCTGTAAATGAGGGTGTGTACATGCGCCGAATAAAGGTTACGTACTCTTTGCATGCCACAAGGTGCTTGACAGAACTTATGCGTGCAGTAAAGGATCTCTGTACACTCTCTAGATCTGCGATTTCACCTGCTTTGAATGGAGATGTTAATGTACAGCAGTATTCCAGCCTAGATAGAACAAGTGATTTGAAAAGGATCATCATTGGCGCGGAAAAGACAAGGTTGACAAAGACGGGATGTTCCAGAGATGGGACACAGAAACAAGAGGTCACAATTGGAAGTTGAAGACTCAGATGAATCAAAGGGATGTTAGGAAGTATTTCTTCAGTCATAGAGTAGTCAGGCCGTGGAATAGCCTACAGAGTGACGTAGTGGAGGCGGGAACCATACATAGTTTTAAGGCGAGGTATGATAAAGCTCATGAAGCAGGGAGAGAGAGAACCTAGTAGCAATCAGTGAAGAGGTGGGGCCAGGAGCTATGAATCGACCCCTGCAACCACAAATAGGTGAGTACAAATAGGTGAGTACACACACACCAGGTAATCAGGCTGAGGAAAGAAGGTGGGGAGCTCACAAGAAACGACCAGGAGGTATGTGAGGAGCTCAACATGAGATTTCAGGAAGTATTTACACTGGAGGCTGAAGGGACAACGGGAAGACAAAACAGTGGGGTACAGCAACAAGGGATATACCAAAAGTGTTGGATGAATTACACACAACTGAGGAGGAGGTGGAGAAGCTCCTAAGTGACCTTGATACCTCAAAGGCGGTGGGACCGGACAACATCTCTCTGTGGGTCCTTAGAGAGGGAGCAGGGACACTATGTGTACCACTAACCAAAATCTGAAACACTTCCCTTGAAACTGGGCAACTACCTGAAGTATGGAAGAAGGCAAATGTAGTCCCCATCTTTAAGAAGGGAGACAGAAATGAAGCACTAAATTATAGACCAGTGCCAATGACATGTATAGT